CCCCAAAACCCCAAAACCCCAAAACCCCAAAACCCCTTTTAATTAATTAAAAATTGAAAATGACATCAGCTTTGACACAATGTTAGACAAAATACTTCTTAGATTACCAACGAAGGTTTATCCTGCCTGCTCTTTAAGAGAGCTTTCCATATATGATTTGATGCGTTTTAACAGAGTTCAGAATCTCTGTCTCAAGTTCAGCTTCTTCTGAAATCTTTTGGCGCTTTCTGATGATAAGATCTTCCTTCCCTTGTCTGAAATTTAGACTCAGATCCTTATGTGAAAAATTGCTTTGTAGATTGTTGCCAACTCTTACATTAGAGTTACTTGGTTCTTGATCCAAACTAGATCGATTAGATAAATAGCTTACGTAGATTTTCCTAAATCAATAACTTTCTTCAAATTTCTTCTTAAGTAGACTGGGTTGAATAGAATTTTCATCGAGCCATTTTTGCTTGTATTCTCATTACACTTGTAGCTCAAAGTCACATCATTATTAGTTGAAACTGCTATAGGCTCATTTCTTTTGACATATTCTCTCCTGTAATCTTTGATTTTCTGGGTCAGAGCTACATTACTTGTAAAAGGCTCGAAGTTGAAGCCATGTCAAGTGATGATACCTGTTTCAGAACAGTAAACTACATTTTTACTTTAAAAATTTACCAAATCTGAAGAACACTTCATTTTCAACACCGGCTGGGATTATTCTAATAAAATCATTATAGTAAGCATCTTCTTTAAACTTGCAAGGAAAGCCTTCGTATTTCTTAATAAGCTTCCAGCTTTCATATGCTGTATTGTCATTCTTCAGAGAGCTAATAGCTCTTGAAAAATTAGAAACTGCTTTATCAAAAGTGAATAGTATATACGCTTGCATTCCAAGCAGTTGTCTCAGACAGTCTTCATACACAGAGATTTCTTTAGAATTCCTTGCCATTGTGAAAAGGACCCCGATGGCGTATCTATATCATGAGCTGAGGGTCTTACCTAAACCTTATCTCAACAAGTTTTTCAAAATTCGTTTCAAGTATTGAGGCATCGAGCTGTTTTTCCTCCTTCATTTCGGCAATATCTTTTCTTAACTTGGCAATTACAGCTTTCTTAATCAACACGAATCTTTCGTAAAGAGTTATGAAGTACCGAATCATGAAGTAGAAATGCTTTGTTCCAAAAAGTAGAGTCTGGTCATCACTAAATAAAGGGAGAAATCTAGCTGCTTTGACCCTTTTGGAAAATTCTTGATCTTTATCGTACCGGATGTAGCCTTCAAATTTTGAGGCTAATTTCTCTTGTTCCTTATCTTCCTCATCAGAATCTCCAGGTTCAGACTCTAAGATATCCTCTTGTGAAGAGAAGTGCATATCAGGTGCTTTATGTAGAGATTCTTTTCTGTTGGTTCTTACATTCACTACAATATCTTTTGTTTCTTCTGAAAAGAAATTGTTGAAGTGATCTTTTTCTTCAACTTCACAAGACCCATATTTCTTGTAAAATGTTTGAGTGCTCTTAATCAACTCTATTGATTCAGAAGGAAGCTCTATAGTGTCTAGCAAGTCTAGACTCTTCTTAATGAATCCAATGTTGAGAAAGTACTTTGAAAATGAGATCAAGAAGTCTTTCTGCCTCTTACTTTGCCCGCTTTGATTATCAATATAGGCATATAGATATTTCATCAGTAGTTTTAAATTATCTGCATCGTTGATCAAAAATCTGAACTGTGGCAAAGTCTCAAATCTCTCAAAATAGAGATCATCTGCTAAGAGCATTGGATGATCAGGGTCTATATCAAGTTTCATTCTGAATTCGACTTCCATCTCAGAATGTAGGCCTGAATAAAACTGTAAGGCTTCTTTTTGATCTTGAATTCTAGCCAGATTTTTGCTTTTCAGTATCCTTTCTTTCATTTGGCCCATCAACTCTTTTGTGAGTTGAGTCTTTCTTTCATTCTGTTTGAAATGAAATCATTTATGATCCAAAGATTTAGCCCAGTGTTTGATTCATTCTTGGTTCCAATTGTTTTGCATGTCTGCCTTTTTGCTCTTAAAATCTGACAAAAACTTTTTCATAGTGTCCAATATGATAGGGACTACCTTTACAGGGAAGCTCTTGATCAAATCCACATATTTTGAATTCTTTGCAACGCATTGATAGATCCATCCGAGTCTGGCAGGTGTAATCACACTTGGGTCGTACACGTAGTTAGCTCCTTGCTTATTAATATCTTGAGTTGCTTTTTCAAGAGCTTTTATACAGTCTTCAGAATGGTTGATTCATTGATCTATCTCATACCTCTCATCCTCAATTTTGAATAATGCATCTTCGTGCTTATTCTTAGCTTTGAAGGTGAAGTTTCCTTCAGATCCTACAGGGACTGAAACAACTGTGTGATTGACAACTTCAGGAATGAAGGTACCCTTCTGGCCTGTATATTCTGACATTGGAAATGAAGGAGGAATTGTTGAATAACTTCAATCAATCCTTTCTCATTCTTTTAAATTTGTCTCGTCCAGGTTTTTGAAATACCAAATATCTTCTTTCCTTCTATTAGCTTCTCTGCTGAGTCAGAAGTTCTTGAATTGCTCAAATTCGTCAATGTGCTTGAAGGGCTTGTCAAGGATTTCAAAGAGTTCATCAGCTCCTCAGATTCCTTCCACATACAAAGAGAACATTTTTATTATTATAGTGTAGAGACTCTCCTTCTGGTCAGGAAAATCGAAATAGAGATCATCGTCAGCCAAGATTTTCTTTAGCTCATCAAAGAACTGAGCTTCTGTTTTGGAAAGAGACTTTCCATCAGGATGGTCAAGAATTTTCTGAGCTTCGGGAATACTGTGAGGCTCAGATGCATCATTACCAGATTCCTCATTCTGATCTAAGGCAATTTGGACTTCATTTCTCGAAACTTCGTACTTATTTACTCATCCTTCTCTTAATTTAGTTTGTGTTCTTTCAAGTTTCTTAACTTCCTTTTTAGAATCTAGTTTCCTCTTATTCCCTTCTCTACTACTATGATGTACGGTTTTAGAGGGAAGAGGGTCCTTTTCCTCTTCATAATCAACTTCTTGTTGATTCTGATTATTACTGAGGAAAATTCTGAATCTGTGGTCCCATTCCGGATGTTTTTCCAATAACTTACTGATCTGTCCTTCGTCCTAAAAATTAGGAAGGTTTAGTTACCTCTAAGATTGGGCCTTCGCTCTTTCTATTATGAAGTATTTCGATAATCTTTTTGTGTAAATTAATGTCCTTCATCTATGGGAAGCATAAGACTGGGCTTCAAATGATCCAATATCTTACCCGAACTTCAGTCAAAAGTGAAATCCCCTATAGATATTTAGTATCAGTGCCAAAAGAAACTCAAAGTTCAGACGAAACTTACCTTACGCTGGATTGGCAAGAAGTTAGTAAACTCCTCGTTTAGGTCGTGATGAGTAAATAATTCGCTCAAATTTTGAAGAAGAAACAATCTGAGACTTGTTCTATAATTTAGTTGTCAGACAGAGAATTTTGAGAGAAAGCTTTGAAATCTATATCAGAAGGCAGATTTCGCTTCTCTGCCAGGAAGTCTTAAAAGGGCTACTTCGACTTACTCTTCTTCTTTAGGTATATGTCAACCAGCTTGTCTCTTTTGTAAATGGTCTGAATACTTGCTCATAAGTTCTACAAATACTGCCAAAGAATTATTTTGGTTATCATTTGAAAAGGCATTTATCAGCTTCATGAAGAACTTCTTCAGGGGCTTATGATTATCTTCCTATAGCCAAAAGTTATGTGAGGATTAACCAATTCAGATTTTGCGTGGGATGGGGCTCTAAACACGCTAAAAGGCCATGCATGAGTCACTAAAGGGAACCCCAGTCCTACCAAAGCGGCTCTCATATTATTTACCATTTATCTAAATTTTTATTCATTCAGAGTCTTCAAATTTTGTATAGAAGTTTGGGGTTTTGGGGTTTTGGGGTTTTGGGGAG